GCACACAAGCTGGTTAAAATACAAAAAGTATGTCAGTTCGCAACCCGCAAATTCCTATCCGGACCAAGAATGATATCGACAGGGAAGCTGAAAATCTCACTGATATAATAGTTAAGGCCTCAGAAATTGCAACACCAAATCCTTCTATTATACATGTCAGTTCTTACTGCCTTAGCCTGCGCACCCCAACCATTCTTAACTTAATAAGTAACAAGCGCTAATTTTAGATGGGAATCGCAAAGAATTCGCTCTCCTAAGCTTAAACAGGAGCTGAATGCGTGTACAAAGGAATTACGTATTTTGTTGCAGGCGGAAAAACAAAGAAGTACGCAATCGATCCTTCAGTCCTTGTCTGCTTCGAAACAGACTGACTACTCCCTTTGGCGAACACTGACGAGTGCGAAGAGGCCCGTTCTTCGAGAAGCACCATTACGTACTCAGAACGGAAGCTGGGCGAGGAATGATGAGGATAAAGCAAACGCTTTCGCCTGTCATCTTTCACAAGTCTTTAGACCCAATGAAGGCGGTCATCCTTCCAATATTTCCATACCCCCAGTAGCCTGACCACAAATCCGCTTCGGGTTAAATAGAAAGATTTAATTAACACCATTTTTCATGATATTCAGAAGAATAAAGCGCCTGGTTAGGATAGGATTACAGGTGAAATGATAAAGGAGCTTCCACAAACTGCCGTACATTTTTAACCGACTTCCAAAAAAGGAGGAGGTTATCAGTTCGTCGGAATCTTTTTTTTTTTTTTATGTATGTTACCGCATAACTTTGGACCACGTCAACCGATTTCGATTTTTGAATCGGAAAGGTAGTGTCTCAGAGGTGGTCCCATACTAATCTGGTTGAGATCCGATCAGTGGATCATGAGATATATATATATATATTTTTTTTTTTTATATGGGAGTTGAAGTCGGTTTTTTTTGCCTAAAAATTACTTGTTTGTTACATATTTTTAATAACATGCTAAAGTTGGGGCACTTCCCCGACTTATGGAAACTTTCGGAAATAATTATGGTGCCAAAGCCAGGCAAAGATCTGACTTTAGTAAGTTCATATCGGCCGATTAGCTTGATTTCTGTATTTTCCAAAATATTTGAAAAACTGCTGTTGATAAAAATACAACCTTCACTAACAAGTAACCAAATAATACCACCACATCAGTTTGGTTTTCGTGAAAAACATGGCACTGTAGAACAAGTTCATAGAATTGTTTCTTGTATTAGAAAAGCCTTCGAAGAGAAGCAATACTGCACCGGTGTATTTTTGGACATCTCTCAAGTTTTTAACAAAGTCTGGCATGATGGCCTTATTAAAAACTAAAGGTTTCACTCCCTGCAAATACGCATGCAATTCTGGAAAGCTTTCTGCTGGAGAGAAATTCAAAAGTCAGAGAGAATTCCTTTAGAACGGGAAGTCACCCTATATATGCAGGTGTCTCTCAAGGCAGTGTTCTAGGACCCATATTGTACATAATATACACTCGTGATTTGCCAACTGATAAAACTCTAACCATTTCAACGTTTGCTGATGACACAGCTATCCTAAGCAATAGTTCAGACCCTAAAGAGGCTTCTTACAAGCTGCAAGAATGTTTGAAAAAGTTAGAGCTATGGGCTAGGTTCTTGGAGGATAAAGGTTACCGAAGGCAAGAGTGTACAGACAACATTTACTTTGAAGAAAGAAACTTGCCCACCACTAAAAATAAACAGCAAGGCTATACCACAAAAAGATAGTTTCAAATACCTTGGGATGACACTAGATAGAAGACTTACCTAGAAAAATCATATAGAAAAAAAAATTTCTTAAGCGAAACTAAAACAAGCAAGCCTTAAGCCTAGATAACACGATGTTGCTTTTTAATATGATGATTAAACCATGATGGGCATATGGAATCGGGCTTTGGTGCACAGCGTGCAATTCCATTTTGAACAGACCTCAAAGACTGCAGCCAAAAATTTTACGCGCCTTATGCGGAGCACCGCGGTACATAAAAAATGCGAAAATCCACAAAGATCTTAATGTAAATACGGTGAATGAGGACATAAGAGGGCTAAGCACCAGTTAGTCAGCACGGTTAATGAACCATCCAAATCGACTAGCGAGAGANGAGTTAGAGCTATGGGCTAGGTTCTTGGAGGATAAAGGTTACCGAAGGCAAGAGTGTACAGACAACATTTATTTTGAAGAAAGAAACTTGCCCACCACTAAAAATAAACAGCAAGGCTATACCACAAAAAGATAGTTTCAAATACCTTGGGATGACACTAGATAGAAGACTTACCTAGAAAAATCATATAGAAAAAAAAATTTCTTAAGCGAAACTAAAACAAGCAAGCCTTAAGCCTAGATAACACGATGTTGCTTTTTAATATGATGATATGGAATCGGGCTTTGGTGCACAGCGTGCAATTCCATTTTGAACAGACCTCAAAGACTGCAGCCAAAAATTTTACGCGCCTTATGCGGAGCACCGCGGTACATAAAAAATGCGAAAATCCACAAAGATCTTAATGTAAATACGGTGAATGAGGACATAAGAGGGCTAAGCACCAGTTAGTCAGCACGGTTAATGAACCATCCAAATCGACTAGCGAGAGATATTCTTAGCTCGATATATGCAAGAAGGCTGAAAAGAAAGGATTTCTCCGATATTATCAAATGATACGCAATATAATAAATTTCGATATCCGCAATATATCAATTTCGGCTCTGGAACTCGCCCTTTCAGACCAATTACCCAACACCAGTGTCAGTGCGGCACGTAAACTTGTCCTTTTCGACCGAACACAGCCTACTGTATTGTAATTACTTAAATATAGAGAAGCGAAGGCGCGGCGTGGAAACTAGTCCTTTCCACCCGCCAGGCAGTGCGGCTCTGGAACTCTTCCTTTCAGACCGCCTGCCCAGCACGATATCCAGCGATCCTGCTGCTCGGAATCTTGTCCATTCCGACAGCGACAACAACTGTAATAAATATATACATATGAGTGAAAAAATAAAAAATTTCTAAGCATTGCCGCAGAAATTTTAAATTTAATGGTAGTTTGTAAGATTTGAAAACTTATTGTTAGTTTCAAAGAAAGATTCAATGAATAAATACATATTATACAAAAAGAAAAAATTAAGTTGCTAAAAAACTAGAGCCAATCCAATATCTTTACGGTCAGATTCGGATTCTACGGGAAAAATCGTATACGAATCGGCTCCAATATTTTACGCCACATAAAATTGTTTAAATTTTGTTGGCCTGTGTTATTATTATTAAAATAATCGAATAATGATAAATACGCAAATAAGAGGATGGATGATATTTACTGCTCGGCCGTAGTTGTACAATATAAAATTGCTTAAGCCTAATAAAATCATTTGGAATGACATTCATACATGGCAATTAGACGTTCAAATTACGGAACAATATTAAACGGAAAACAGTATAGGTTAGGTTAGGTTAAGGTGGCAGACCCGCAACGGGGACTCACTTAGACATTTGATTGTCCATTGTGATACCACATTACATAGGAACGGTAACTGCGTAAAAATTACGAGAAGCGCTGGGTGCTCATAATGAAGTTCTTCAAACAGCTGATGTCCACTCCGGAGAGTCCCTCGGGAGTGTCGATGAAATGCGCACCGAGATGCTTAAACCGTAATCTAGCGAATGCCGGGCAGTTGAGTAGGAAGTGCTGAGATGATTCCACCTCGTCCTCCAGGCAACTGCGGCAGTAGGGATCCGTGACGATATTGAGTCGCACCGCGTGGGTTCCCATTGAACAGTGTCCGGTCAGTACACCTGTGAAAATCGAGAGCTGACGCTTAGCCAGCTGCAGCAGTTCCCTTGACCGCCCGCGGTCCACAACCGGCCAGAAGGACCTTGCAACTCTGCAAGTCGGGGTTTTTTCCCAGCGCTCGCTGAGCCGACCATGAGCCCATCTGTCCAAAAGCAGGCCGCAGGTTGCCAACGGAACTCCAATGCCCTCCCTATCCGAGGTGATGGCCTCAAGGGTGCCTTGCCTGGCCAGTTCATCAGCCCTGCAATTTCCCGCGATATCACTGTGCCCCGGGACCCAAATCAGCTTGATCTGGAAGTACTCCGAGGCAGTTGAGAGAGAGGTCAGGCATTCCCCAACCAGTTTTGAACACACCATTAGCGATCCCAGCGCCCTGATTGCCGCCTGGCTATCAGTATATATATTTACCCTCCTTTTTGACAGTACATTGGTGCGTAGCCAATCGGCTGCCTCCTTTATAGCGGCCACCTCTGCCTGAAAGACGCTGCAGAGATCCGGCAGTCTGAAAGTAAGATCTACTGAGAGTTCCTGACAGTAGACACCTCCTCCAACTCTCCCTTCCAGCTTCGATCCGTCCGTAAAGATGTTTATTGGACCTCTTCTCCAGAGACTACCCCTCTTCCATTCATCCCTTGAGGGGATGTGCGTGGAGAAGGATCCTTTAGGGGCCAGCCTCGGGTGACTCCGGTCCATTTCTTTCGGCACGAAGTCGAAGCTTTCGAGAATTGTCGAGTGTCCGTGCGCTGGATTGAAAGAGAACCCAGAGCTTTTGAGCCTAATGGCTGAGCGAACCGCCGCTACTTTGCCCGAAATGTCGACAGGTGCGACATTGAGTATAGCGTTTAGGGCTAAGGTGGGGGTGGTTCGGAGCGCCCCGCTGATCCCAACGAGGGCTGCCCTTTGCACGCGCTCTAGCTTCCTAACATGAGTGGTGGAAAACAGTATATCAGGTGGATATATTACATAAACTTATCGTCGCTTGGCGTGCAATACCGCGTATACGCAAAAAAATGATATATTATAAGCTCAGAAAAAAAATATACATATGTAATGAAAGAAATTTATCGCTGGGCTTTTTCAAAAACATCCCTCGATATATTGCACTTTTTCATGTTTCTCTACAAATAAACAAAGAAAAGTACTAAAACTCAAAATAAAATTATAATCTTTTTTATTTTAACATAAAACACAACTTTTCAGAGACATCTCGGTGGAAGATTATTTCCTGCTGGTCGAGAGTTTAGACACCGAAGTCGTTGCATTTGCTCCAATGTTAGCATCGCATCACCCGCGTGTCATCGCAGTTGGGGAAGGAAATGGAGATTTGTTGCGTGTAACTTTGCTCTTGTCCGAAGATTGCCGCATGCGACGAAGTTTGGCATCATCTAAACATATGAAGTCCAATTTTTCCCCCCTAATAAGTTCCCTGGCGGCTGTTGAGGTTGACTTCAATAATTTTGATAACAGTAACAAACTCGAATCTATTCAAAATGATGGAATTGTTGGCAAGGACAGAAAAAGCTTTCGCAACAATGGGGATTTAGCTGATATCATTGGTAAATAAATTTATTTTCAAGTATTTATTTTAAAATTATTAAACACGTTTTCGTAGTAGGTATTCCTATGAAATATGCACATCACAATGACGAGTCTGTTTTGATGCAAACAAGGCAGAATCATGGAAGCACTCAATCCTTGAAAAACTACCGAAATAGCAGGTATCCTTTCCGCAATAACATGTCGTCCATGGAAATCGGAGTTTATGTCCTCCTTACTGCTTTTTGCTTTGCGATCGTCGTTTTTGTCATTTCATGTGTTGTATATGCGTCGAAATTCAGACCAAGAGCCATTGACACTGGTCCTTTAGAATTGAGCAAAGCTATCATCACTCCCAACATGTTGTCAAAGGAATTACGTTTCCCGAAGGAATCTACAACCAATGTTCACGACTGGGTGTGGTTGGGACGTTCGACAATGGACAGATCATCTCTTATTAACGATTCAACGTCAAATAATGATAATCGAGGTAAATTTATTTTTATATTATGGGCTATTTTTTTATTTTAACTTCTATCTATTTGAGATTGAAAACAGTATTTTTTAAACTGGTGGTCTATTAAAAACACGAAAAAGAAAATTTGAAGCACGCGTCACTTATGCATATGACATACATTTGATATGGATATTACAAAGTTATTATCAATGCTGGCAAAAAATTTTGGTTTGCTTTCTTTTACATATCGCCCTTTTTTTTAAACAAGGATTACGATGGTGTAATTTTAAATCCCTAATTTACTGGTCTTCACTATGCAAACCAACTTCAATAAGTTCAACTGTTAATTGCTAAGTTAGCTTGACCATCTTATATATTGAAATGTTAAGCCCGTTTCTTTAGCTTTAAAACGACGTTAAGATGAAGTCTCTTCGATGAGCAGAACCCGAGATATAACGATTTGAAAAAGTACATGAATGGTCAGAATCAAGAAGTTTGGCAGATCATATCCCCGAAGTAAAAAAATAAAAATAAATTACTCGAATACGTGTAATAAAAATTTTTAAACGAATCGGAGACATGACATCATTTTTTTACGAAATTCGTGAGACTTGAAAAATAATGGCTCATGTACGATAAAGTAGCTTACTCTCATTTATGTTCTCTTTATATTTTTTATTTATAGTTTTGTATGAATGTTTGTCTCTGCTCTTTGTTTTTTATACATGTTTGAGAGACTGTGTCTGTAAGCCAATAAAAGTCCTTATAAGTAAACTGAAGGGCCCAGAATTCGGTTTTCTGTTATAGGATGGCCAACAATCCTCGTTTCACAGGCCGGAAGAGTTTTCCCGTTCATTGGCTAAATTAAGCCGTCGTCGTTGTATACCTGCAGCCCGTTGTATACCTGAAGAAAACCCAATTCTTATTAAATCACTGTCAGAAAATGGAAAGTTAAACCTAAACGTGTAACAGGAGGATGGTACCGTTCGCAGAAGGGTCAAAGCGAGAAGGCGTAAAACCTCGCGGGCGGCCAAACAACCCCGCCCAATGAAAAAGAAAAACATGCCTCGGATGAGACCCCCTTCTTTTGATGACGACCACGGCAAACGTATAAAGGACTATGATTTGACGGTATGCGCTTGTAATATCCGGACCCTTAATGGGGAAGGTGCCTCTGGCCGGCTTATTGATGTCCTCGAGAAACTCCACGGAGAAGAGCGCAAATTCGGTGTTGGATTCATGGTGGGAGAGAGACTCCGTCGCCGAGTACTGGTGTTCAGCCCGGTGGACGAACGTCTAGCCATAATCCGTATTAAGGCGTCCAAGGATCTCTTCTATGAGCGCTTGGAGCGCACATACGAGCCCTGCCCCAGACACAATATCAAAATCGTGCTTGACGATTTCAATTCCAAGGTGGATTGACTTCGCCGGTGCCCGAAATATAGGATTATTTAGTACAAGGTTCTAACGTAAAGAGATGCATCAAGCCCATGTTTTGAAAGACGGAAGGCTTTTACGCGTACGTACACTCAGAGGGCCAAATGTCGATTCAGAACACTATCTTGTTGTAGCCAAGGCTTAACGTCGAAAAGTTGTAATCACAACAGTCGACCAATTTATTCGCCAATCGACTCTCACACTTGCTCTCTGAGAGCACTCTTCAACAGACCGACATACGCGATCAGTATAACCACATTTCCCGCTCATCGAGTACCGCCGTCGAAGAAGTAGTCGGGTTTCTGCGAGCTCGAAAGAACGACTGGTACGATGAGGATTGTAAACAAGCTGAAGGGAAAAAAATGTCGGCTACAGGGCCACGCTGCGATCGGCGCAACGCAACATGTGGGACAGTTAAAGGGAACTGAAGAGGGAAGCTAGACGTATTTGCCACAATAAGAAGAAAGAGGCGAGTGCGAAGAGCTCGAGGTGATGGCCGACGGGGGAAAACGCTCGAAAAATTTTATCATAGAGCCCCCCGTGGGAACAACCATGGCGGCCTGGTGACCGTTGTCCAAAACTTACTTATATTATGGAGAGAACAATTTTCCACTGCAGCAGCACTGAAAGTACTAGGTTCCAGCCCCCAGTCGATTATAATGGAGTCGGTGTCCCACCGCCTGTCTATGACGAGGTACGAATAACGATTATGCGGCTAAAAAACAACAAAGCTGGTGAAGCTGTCGACCTGCCAGCCGAGCTGTTCAAGTATGGCGGAGAGTAGCTGACAAGGTACGTGCATTAGCTCTTATGCAGAATATGGTCAGATGAACGCATGGCCGATGACTGAAATTGAAGTGTGCTCTGCCCAATCCACAAGAAAAGCGACCCTTCCATACGCGCCAACTACCGCGGGATCGGCCTTCTAAGCATAGGTTACAAGGTCTTATCGAGTGTATTGTGCGAAAGACTGAAGCCGCCAACGAATTGATTGGACCTTATCAGTGTGGCTTTAGGCCTGGAAAATCCACCAAAGTCCAGGTATTCACAATACGCGAAATCTGGGAAAAGACTCGCGAGAATAGGATCGACACATACCATCTATTCAAAGTCGGATTCGATGGCACGAAGTTGTCTTTATGTCGCAATGTCTAAATTTGGCATCCACGCGAAACTAATACGGCTATGTAAAATGACGTTGAGCAATACCACCAGCTCCGTCAGAATTGGAAAGGACCTCCGAGCCGTTTGACACCAGACGATCTTTCCCTTTTATCTGATGTTGGAGAAGATAATAAGAGCCGCAGAACTGAACCATTCAGGCACAATACTTTACAAGAGCGCACAATCGAACGAAGTATCTCCTGTTATCACACAAACAGTCAGAGCATAACCGTCTTGACCCACGTCACTGTTGACAGTTACAAGTCGGAATTACAATTTACAATGTAGACGACTTCGTTAATTTGGGAACCAATAATAATGTCAGTCTTGAGAGCCAAATGAAAATCACTCTTGCCAACAACCCAGCGGGACCTGTATACAGCACATATTCGCATTCCTCCTATACGCCTATACAAGTTAGTGGATAGAACAAACTTGTCCCATTTCCCGACTCGCTTCAAGACATCATTGAATCCGCTCCTGTGTTTTTCTTCATTATTATGTTTTCAAATGCTGATTACGCTTAGCCACGATAATGGTAGGCTGTAGTAAGAGTAACAGCAACTATTGGAAATGACATTCTACAACAGCATTTAATGAATGAGTCCGACAAGAATGACCATCATTGAGAAGGTGTGATAATAGCAAGCATTGAAAAGTTTTGCACACGGAACACTAAGAAACAGCGACTTTAAGTTAGCGGTAACAGCAATTAGTGAATGAAGCTGGCCCAACATGTATCACGAATATCCTCCACAGAGAATGTGTGATAAGGGCAAGCAGTAAAAAGTTTTGCACACGGCACACAAAGCAGCAGCGACTTTTGGTAAGCGGTACTAAATTCCTGGAAAGCGTCCTCTGATTGCATTCCTCACGCCATCAACAACAACTGGTTTTTCCATTTTCTTTGCGTAGTCTTGGTAGGTTTAGTTTTTGTTGAAGAGATCATGATGAATCAGAATAAATGTGGTTGTCGAAGCAAACAAGTGTCTGATCTTTTAATTGGCGCCCAACGTGGGGCCTGTCGCGAAATAGCTGATCATACTTCATTGTAAGCAGATTCTCTAAAAAGGATAATCTCGAATAGAAGGATAGCCCGGCAGGCGAAGGACCTCATCAACTGAAGGATAAATAAAATTGAAAGGACTCTCCAATCCTCGATTTGACAATCGCATCTCACCATCCCCAAGGATTTTCATAAAAAATAATTGTAAGTAATTATTCAAAATTATTTCTTGTGGTGATTTTTTTGTTATTATAAGTAAAATATTTCAATATAAAAGTGAAAGCTTACAAATAAATTGAATTTTGCCTTAAACCTACATATGTATATTTTCTCTTTTCAAAACTGGTGTTTTTGCTATTTTTTTAAAAGAACATAAAGTCAAAATAATAATAAATTTGAAATATTCTCAAATACTAGTGTTTTCCAATATTTTTATTTTTTAAATATCCTAAAAGTGAGAATTGCGAAATAAATTGCCAAGCTCAAGTGATATTATTTTTTTCGAATCCGATGTTTTTGGAAATTCTTAAGACCACAGTGCATTCTCTTATAGGGAGATCTAGTTAATTTGTTCCTAGGTCTTTTGATTTAGAAGAGTGCTTTTCAAAGTGGATACTGTTGCAGTATTGCAAAAAAGATATTTATCAAAAATAATTTGAAATAAATAAATTTCATTACGTAGATTACGTTATTGAAAATGAGTGTTACACGCGAACAGGTATTGGAAATAGTGAGACATAGCAATGAAGAAATTAGGCGGGGGTTTGCAAAGGAAATCGACCGTCTTTCTCAAACTCAACCGATTGGTTCCACCGAGCGTGGAAACTTTCTTACCGGTCGCCATTGATCCGACAGTTAGCTCAGACAATTCAAGTTTAGATTTAATAAAATCCCTCTCCGAATTTAAGGGTGACGCCTCAGCATATCCCGCTTGGCGTACTGCAGCTCATTTTGCAATGAACTATTATAAAGAACATTCAGAAAAATATTATATCGCTATGGGAATTTTTAGGAATAAAATTACAGATTCAGCTAACACATCCCTTTCTTCTTTTAACACGGTCCTTAATTTTAAGGCAATAATCGCAAGGTTGGATCAAACGTACGCGGATAAAAGACCGTTATATGTTTTAGAAAATGAACTGAGTATTTTAAGGCAAGGCAACCTACCGATTGCTGATTATTACGATACAGTTGATAAGCAACTGACACTTATTATTAATAAGCAAATCATGTCAAATAGCGGAAATTCTGAAGTTATCGCTGCCCTTAACGAGAGAGCTAGGGAAAACGCACTTCGTGTATTCGTCTCGGGTCTCCGTAGACCATTATGTGACATACTTTTTTCCACTAGACCAAAGGACCTTCCAACGGCGCTTGCGGTTGCTCAGGAGCTTGAAACTAGCCATAAATTTTGAGCGCATAT